CTGAGAACGGCTTTATTTTCGTTTTCCGACCATTAAAATTACGATTTGATCAGTTTCCAAAAAAATGAGTTGATTTTCTCCAATTCGCTACCAAAAATTAAACTGTTTTCGTGTAATTGTAGCCTACCATCTAATCTACATTATGCCCAAAAATCAATGCGTCACAGTAAAAAAAAGAAATAGAAAAGTTACGAAATAAGCTGCAAAACTTATGTGCCAACCTATCAATTTCTTCTCAGAATCAGCGCGAAAGTAGCAGCATACTAAACAAACATGTGACCTTTCGATTATTTACCGCTATGCTAGAAGCAGGCTTAAGCGCGGGGTGTGACATGCCACACCTAGGGGGTCGTATTGAGGGGTAAGGGTACCTTCATACTGCGCCGGCAGCCGCCGCTAGCCGCCCTTAGCCGCTTTTGTGCACTTTCCCAATGTTCCAAGGCCTTCACAAAAAGTTAAAAGATTACGCTATTTGTAATAAACATGGCGAGTAACTCCACCACACCAAGTTTTAGCAAGATTTGTGCTTTCGATATCGGGATCTAGATAATGAAATAGTGCTCAGAGGCTGCTAGCGACGGCTGCCGGCGCGGTATGAAGGCACCCTAAGAGAGGGATTGGGGGCGTCTTCGAAGTGATTGGTTCTGATCTATTAAGATGATATTCATTAACAATGTCAGATAGGCCCATCATGCACACTAGCATATTGTTGTTTTGGCTCACTATCCAACACGTCAGTAGGCATAATAAAAGAGCCTTAGAAGTAAGAGAGCATCACTTTCGTAATTAGCATGTCAAATAACCCCTGTGGGCCAAGCTTCAGCGAATTCTGAGTTTTCCAAATAATGGGCCACTCAAATAAGATGGTCATTTTCGAACATGTTATCTTTGTTTCAAAGGTGAGTCAACTACTCCTTTGTCACTTAATACAAAGAGCTACTACTCCTTTGCCCACATTAGGAATCCCACTACAAATAATGTCCAAACTAAGGAATTAAGAGCAAGCCAAAATCTCGTCAAAAAGCTTTCAATATTTTACAAGTGAAGAATACCAACATTAGTCGGCGATTGAAGATGCGATGTATGTCATCAAATGCGCCTTGATTCCAAATCTGCTTCCTTTTTTGCGGAACAGGTTTTCGAAAGAACTTATGAGCGTGTGAATGTATAAATTTGTCCAGGTTCAGGTGGTCTAAAATTGGGAAAAGCTGTACAAAAACACCGGAAAGTGGTCGGTTTTGTATTGAGTATATTGTTTGCAAGAAGGAACAAAGCCGGTGAAAATCGCTTAGGTATTGTTTTGAAGCTTTCCGCTGATTCTAAGCCACTCAACGCTTGCCAAGTCTGAACTTCAAACGCTCACAACTTCCTTCGGAAACTTACCACGCAAAAAAGGAAAGCAGATTCGGAATCAGCGTGCAAAGGCGCGTTTGATCACATACATTCCATTTTCAATCGCCGACTAATGTTGGTATCCTTCCCTTATTAGAGTAAAAGAAGACCAATCAGGCTCAAATTACCTTTGTGTAAATCGCGAGGTTTAGGCTATCGCATATACTTGTTGTTGCCGCCTATCCTGGCGATTCACTTAGTAGCGCAGACTTAGCATGTTACCGTGACCCAGTATTTTCGTAGTTTTCTCATTTTGCATAGGTAAGAAGAAACAATTATATTTCCTAGAAGAAATGATTTTGAATGAAAATTCTGCTGTGTAAAGAAAAGGATTAAGCAGTAGCAAAGATAGCCAAAACCCCGCACTTTTTGTATGAGTGATTGGAGCTGAACTCGTCTTTTTCCGCTTGAACGATACTTATCGGAATCAGAACTTCTGGAAGAGAAAAATGAGACAAACAAGATTTTGGCTGGTTCCTAATTTTATAGATTGATGGTTACTTGGAGCAGGATTCATGATATGGGGCAAATATGGAGTAGTGCTTTGCACTGAATGCAAAAAGAGTAGCCAATTTATAATATTTTCAAAATTTAGTCAACAATCACGAGTCAACAATTTTTGAAAATGGCCATTTCAATTGGGTGGGCAATATAGAAAAACATCAGAGTACGCTAAAACTTGGCCAACCGGGTTATTTGACATGATATTCACGAATATGCTACTAATTATGCTTAGAGAGCCTTTATGTGCCTATGGCGGACAAAATGCTGGGGAAGGGGGAAGGGGGGAATGTCGATACAGAACTTAGGGGGAAGAGGGTCGTATCCGGCGGTTGTGTGCCACACCTCTTGTTCGACCCTGGCTAAAAGTTGCCCAGTAAATGGAGGTAAAAAAGGTTGCCGACTACCTTAAAGGCACCATCCACCCAGATTCTCGACTTCTAGTTGTGGTTTCAAGGCCTTCTCATGTCCCTGATTCCAAATACGAAGTCGAAAATCCGCAAAGACCCCGACAATCCACATTCCGGAGAACCCACAGGCCGGCTTTCGAGAACGGTGATTGGATGAGCGCGCACAAATGGGCGGGCATGGATGGGGAGGGGCGGGCATAGATGGGGGTCCTTGTGCATCTTCGCTATTCCGAAGCGATTATCTCGCTTCCGAAGCGGCATATCGCGCCGGGACTTGGGTATTGGCTTGATAGGAGGCCCTACTGTTATATGCTGCCAAAAGCTCAGCACACTCAACTTAGGGTGGACGGTGCCTTTAAGCGAAACTGCAAACTCCTATTTGGTCTTTCCGTCAAAGAATGCTGAAAAATTTGTTTTTGCACGTCATGTTTGGTATTCTTGGCAAAGTTGTGAACCCAGCTTTTGAAGGCCCTGTTTTGAACTCAAGTCATCAATAAGCCATCCTACTTTCAAAAATTTAGGGGCGGCTTTATCAATTTTGATCCAGAGGGGTTACTTGCTTGCTAATTACGAATATCGTGCTTGTTTGCTGCAACAAAGCCTTACTGTGGAATTATGGTAAATTGGAGCGTAAGAATAAATCAACTTTTCCAAAAAACTTACCTTAGAAATTCATGAAAACCTTATCATGCAAAATGAGCGCGATATCCGTGGCTAGCATGTTTGATAACACCTGCCCGTTCCCTGTGGAAAATTTCGAAAGGAACTACACTTTGGCTTAGTACCCACTGTATTGTATCGGTCGTTCAGCGGTCGTGTGCCACACCTCTTGTTCCACCCTGACTGTTAAACCTATGGAAGAAGTTGAATTGGCGCTAGCTTAGCGGATACCAACAAGTAGGGTGTAGAGCTTATACTATTCATTGCATCAAAACTTACGGTTACGTTTCCGATTTACGGCAGCTTAGCTTTGCGAAAACTTGAGCGACTTCTCTTACGTCTATCTTTGACAACTTTCATTTTAAAGAATTTACTGATGCAAGTACGAAAACGACTACTACGCATGCTTTGGAAATGGGACCAAATTCGTCAATATCGGAAAGGTCACAAGTGAAATGGATGTCATCTTTCGGTCGCCACTCAAAATTTGGAGGTTTATGCGTTATTTGAAATACCTTCCTTGGCGTTCTAAACAATGTAAAACACTAACATGCCGCGATTTGCCCTAACAAGTTTTTTTTTTCATCTGTTTACTTATTATTTTACGAGCTGGCAACCCGGGTTCCACCCCATTCTGGAGCCAGTCCATCGTGCTTGATCTCTCATGTAGCAAAATTTACTCTTCTTTTGATCCCGACTCGTTATGCGTTCGTTTCCTAACGTTCCTACCATATCTTGATGACCAGCAGATCAAAATAAGCTTCTCCGCTCATCCTTCATGACTATGAGAAATGTGCACAGACACACGGACACACAGATTTTTTGCTTTGTGAAACAACAGTATAAAAGAAAGCCTGGGTCGCATTATTTGAAGATCAAAGGGTGGGAGATTAGCAGGAAGTCTAGCTAAGTGCATTCTGAAAAAGCTTACTATTCAAGCTTAGATTTTAAACCTAGTGAATGGTACGTAATTTGCTCAAGCATGACAAGAGTCTATTCAAGGTTTCTAAAAAAAACCACAGACAAGTTTTGAATAATGAGATCAGTGTTTGAGGCGAATAGCAGAATAGTTGTTCATTGCCTCTTGAAAGACAATGACTTCTGCTGTTGAGGCTTTTCCCTAACATTTCCTTTGGTTCTTTTATGTCTGTACGTACCAGTGGCGTACCCAGGATTTCTGCTCGGAGGGGGGGGGACAGAATTATTTTTCGAATGAAGGTGCGTGGCGTTAGCCACGCACTCCGAAAAATTTAAAGGATGCTTCTCAAAATTTTTGCGGGTCCTCAACCCCTACGCCCCCGAAAAAAATATTTTACAAGGCTAAGTTGAATTTTTAAAGATTTTTAGAAGTTATTTTAATCATTTGCAATTATAAACATGTTACTTGCACATTTTAACCCATATAAGTAACTGAATTTTTGCGAGGGTTTTGTAAAAAAATCTTTTCCTTCACCAATCTTTACCGTAAACGGCTTGAGTCCTCATTCCAACAGTAGCTTTGCGTATTTTACCAATTTTGCTATCTGCAGTAGAACGGCGGATGCGGTGGTATCAGTACTCTGATTAAGAATACAGCAAGACTATTACTAATAAGACGACGAGTGCAAGCAGTAAAAAAGGATTATTACATTTTTGAGCTGAAAACTGGAAAAATACATAGATTAGCACAACAAGACATAGATTAGCACAACAAGTGCTTAGACCATGTGGTTTGCTGGAGATGCTTCACCGCTTACTCACTCCTTTGCTACATGCGTTAGAGTCAAGAGCACAAGAACAACAAATACTCAGAATTTGCAAAGAGTCCACTTTACACTTGTCTGCGCCACATTGCGCATATTATGAACTTGCGATTGTTCACCACCACCATATATTCGCGAGTCGAAATGTACCCTAGTGAAGTGAACAAGAACTGATGTTTGCATCATCTTGACAAATTAGCCTTCATTTTCACTATTCCAGCTTCTTCTATTGTGCTTGTACTATGTTCTGCAAGACCTTTTTGCTTGGACTGATAACGATGCTTATTCTCTACTAATGACCGTGGAATATAATAAGTCTCATTCTGTCCTATCGACTAAGGAAATTGTAGAAACTTTTGCTAAAATGTACAAAGATGGAAGACTGCTGTAAGTTTCTTTCAAGCATTCAGAAAAGCTTATTATGCAGTTTCGAAACGCGTTAACATCAATCTTGTTACCCGTAAGCCAAGGTAATGTTGATTATTCAATATATTAGGTTGTTCCATAAGTTTGTAGCGTTTTCATTCTCGTCCTCATTTCTCTGAGAGACGGTCGAATTACGACAAGGTGCGTAGATCAGAAGAAAGAGCTGATCATGCTTTTCAAAGTGAATATAGATATATTAAGAACAGCGTCATCCTCGTCGACTAATCAGTGTTTGAATATGGGATTTTTGGAAGGCAAAACAAGCACTTTCGACACCTGCTCTTTTTTGCGTAGAAAAAAGGCCTAAAAGCTGCAGAAGCAGCGCGAGAAATTTGTGCCGTGTATGGAGACAGCATTATAAACGAGTCTACTGCTCGTAAGTGGTTCTGCAAGTTCAAGGATGGTGATCTAGACCTGGACGACACACCCCGCGCAGGTCGACCCAAGGAGGTTGACAATAGATGTCTTGAGTCGCAGTTAAAGCGGGACGGCGTCAAACATGTAGAGAACTGGCCAGAAAAATGGACTGCAGTGTTTCTTCAGTTAATCGCCACCTTCATTCAATAAAATGCCGTCAAAAACTTGGCCCACAGATACCCCATGCGTTGACTGAAAGAACTAAGCAAATGAGGCTTGAAATTGCTGCTCGTCACCTTACTCGTCATCAAAATAGTGGAGGTCACAGGGAGCGTTTTTTGCACAGGATTGTTACCGGTGACGAGAAGTGGTGTTTCTATGTGAATTTGAGCGAAAGAAAACAGTGGGTCGGTCCACAGTGGCCGTATTCATCAACGAAACCCGTGGGTTCCGGAACCCACTGGGTTAGTGCTTTTGATGAATATCGATTCTTCCCTGGAGTAGAATCGATATTCATCAAAAGCGCTAACTCAGTGGGTTCCGGAACCCACGGGTTTCGTTGATGAATACGGCCACAGGAAACGCCAGAGCCAAGGGTTAAGCAGGAGTCGCATCCGACCAAAAGAATTATAAGCGTTTGGTGGGACTGGAAGGGCATCCTGCACTGGGAATTGCTGGACAGGAACACGACGTTTGACCACAACCTATATGCAGCACAGTTGCGCCGTTTGAACGAGGCCATACAGCAAGAAAGGCCCAATAGACGGGGCCAAGTGATCCTCCTGCATGATAACGCACGCCTCCACACGGCAAACGTGGTAAAACGGTCCTGGAAGACCTAAACTGGGAAGTACTTCAGCATCCGCCTTACTCCCCAGACCTCGCCCCAACAGATTATCACCTGTTCCGGTCCATCGCAAATCACATGAAAGGGCTACGTTTCAATTCTGAAGAGGATCTCAGGCGTTGGTTAGACAACTTTTTCGGGACCAGGCCAGCTGATTTTTGGAAAAACGGAATCGAAAACTTGACGGCAAGGTGGCAGAAGGTTGTGTGCAACGACGGAGAATACGTCATTGATTGAATTTCAATAAAATTTTGTCATTTCGATGGTTTATAAAAACGCTACGAACTTATGGAATAACCTAATATATTCACTCCGTTAATGATAATTTCCGTACTTTAGCGACGTTATTGTGATTGAAGATGGAAGTCACATACGTATTATAGATAAGATAATTTCGCCGCCTTCGCTTTCTGAAAGGTGAGTGGTGTTGATTAGCTTATGAAGATGAGCTTACCTAGAATGACTTAAAGGCAGCGTCCGAGCAGAATCCCATCTCCATTTTTGGTCTTATTCAAGCCTTTTCATGGCGATGATCCCCGAAATTCAAAAAGGAATTCTTAAAAATAAGCTCCTTTTTAGGAGTATTTATAGGCTGCCGTGGAAGAGTGTACTTGGCGCTTTTCTTGTTGTGAGATGCTTAACAGGTCAAACGATATGTTTTCAGTTGTCGTAATAATGTGAAGATGTGTCAAGGCGTAGTTTGAGTTTGACCTGACGAGTGAATAAATGAGGTTCACGAGTCACTAGTGTATTTTCAGATTTTCTCCTTCTCTGTTATCCAGAGGTTGGGTTTGGCAATAGTTTTAGATTGAGGACCTAGTACTCAATTACATAGTAGCCAAAAATGTCCGAATTTGCCCCGACGCTGCCTTTGACAACGCATATGCTTTCGACGATGCAATGCATCAAGAAAGAGTTGGCATATAATTTTAAAAAAATATGGAGTGGTAGTAATTTGGTCGATACATCATCTCAACTAAGTTTTCACCACATTAGATGGCCAGCAACTTCACATCATATCCTCAACGAAATCACGAGGTAGCCAACTGCAAACATTGAAGATGGGCTAATTTCTACTTGGCTTCAAATTTAACAAAACGACGTGACTGAAGGGGATTAACTTTCAATCATTCTGATGCTTGACCACCTTCATTGCACTTTACCAGATTTGCTTCTCGGACTCTAGCATTCATTTTCCCATGGTCTTATCTAAAGAGTAATCACGTTAGCTTCCTTATACATAGTAACTTTTAAAATGCTCTCCTTCATTCCTACAATTGTGAAAAAGGGTACTACTTTTTCATTCTAAACAATGATCTAGTGGTTCTACGTCTGCTTCTCATGAAGTAAAGTGCTAATCTCATAATTCTAATTAATAACAAAACAGTGATGTTACGGCTGGATACTTTGCGATTTGGTTCAAAATAAAAGTCATGAAACAATCACAGTAGCATGCTGCTTACTTGCTTATTTCATGGTGTTGTACAACCCGATCATAATGAGTGGTCTTCAGAAGAAGGTCTTGGTTACCATCACGTAACAATGAACTATCGCATTATATGAGGGTTTCGACCAAATCATAGTAATTGGATCTCAATCACTTTACTTACAATATGTCTAGATTTATGCACTACAAAGTTGGTGAGAGCCCAGCGAAATGATAGCCTCCTTGTCTTACAAACACCTTGAAAATGGTCGTATGTGGAGGTAATATTCAACAAAGTGGGAAGTAGTATGGAAAGACAGTATCAAGGCACAAAAAAAGAACATCAGTATTCTCTTATATGAAACTGAATTGTCTGCTATTTGTCTGTCCATCTGCACGTATGTTTATATGTTCCGCATAGAATCCCTTTATATAGCAATCCAGACCAAAATTGCATACTTTGAGGCAGGCGGATTTCATAGGTACCTTTCGTTATAGACACTATCGATGTTATAGACTTTTCGCAAACATTGAGCTATGAGGCTTGCCACAGGGATTGAACAGCATGCTGACTACGAATATAAAAAGCGTCTGTCAATTACTCCTTTCATTGGCACTACTTTTTGCAGACTTTGGTCATGTTATTCACGAAAACAGAGGGTGCAAAGAACTCACATACGGAAGAGGAGCTTCATGAAGAATGTATGCTTAGAGGTGGGACGAAATGGTTGTCACATCGTTGTTATGTTAAAAAAGAACCAATCGGAGCAGGGTATCTTGGCTATCAAGCGCAGTAGGGTAATACCACAAACGGCTGCTAAGCATGCGTAAGGCTGCGTCTGGGAGCAGTTGCAGCGCAGCGCTCATTTCAGATGCTGTGCTAAAACTGTTCCTGGACTTCCCGGACATCAGTACAAACGCAGCCTAAGCATGTACAAAGTATACGCTCATAACCATCAATGTAACATGGATGTGAGCGTAGGTATTTATTCGAGGTTTTTTTGTATGGTGTTGCGTGCCTGTGCAACTTGTAGACGCTGAACTATGACTTCCATCACTACAAATAACTGCCGCACACTTGCTTTAAAGCAAAACATCTTTTTGATCCCTGGCAAACATAAAATTTCCCTTCCGCTGCTTTGATAAATACTCAGAAAATAAAAAGAACACACGTCGACGTATTCTTTATAAATTCACGTAATGCCGCTGCATTCATTACAGTTGGAAAATACCCTTACATCTTGGTGGGCCTAGCCCCAGCTTGCTGTGGCACCACACCACCGCTATCGGCTTACTATCAGAACCGCTCTTCGTGTGAGCTTTGATAGTTACTTTGCGCGGACGCTCAACTCGGCTCTGAACCCCATTTCCTTTTACAAGCATCACGGTTATGCTTTGATTATCGACTTCATAAACATATCAGCATACTAAGCAGGGACTGACCAAGGCCACCGTGGTATTTCTATATAAGTTGTGCATGGAATCGTTGCGCGACGCTGATCTCAAATCTAAGTTTGCTATCTGCATGCAATTTTCATCTGAAAACAATGAACTTTTTTTCTGTTGAAATTTGTGTGGTATCAAATAGTTAAAATTATCGGTACCAAGCTGTCCGTTTTATGCTACCGAGCAACGTCTGTGATGATCGGCCATTGTATTCAGACCAGACAAAAAAGCAAGGAAAATTTTGCAAGGCACATAATGACCCTTCGCAACAGTACTTGTCGTCGCAAAACGCTCATGAATTTACCTAGAACTATCTTTGCAGGTAGCGGATATAAAGATAAGCGTCCCGAGATCAGGATCCTCATAAACATCTTTTGCGAAAAAGATCACGTGCCTCGGGTCGCTTAGGAAAGGAACAAATTAGTGAACAATGAACTCAGCGAAGAGAAATTCAAATACCAGCGCGCCCGATAATCGCAGCAAGCAAAGAGCAAAGTGCTCAGCTCGTTCTGAAGAGCCATGAACATTATACTTTGGACCGAATCGGAAAAACATTCGAGTATTCGAATAAAAATTATCTGAAGACTAAAATTGCGATACATTTGGTAGTCTATTCGAAATTTATCATTATCAAATTTATTGGATTATTCGTTTATTCGGAAATTTTACTTTTGAATACAATCGAACATTCGATTGTTTACTTTCAACAATTACTAAATTATTACTGTTTCAAGTAATCATAACTATATGACTCTAGGCAACTAAGACTAGTTCAGAGGAGTTACATTCTGAAAAATGAAGGAACTGCAAAAAGGAGACGCATAACGAATGCTTGTTTTTCAGTCTGGACAAGTTGCGAAAAGTAAAAAATCTGAAGTTCCTTATAGTGGATTCATTGTACTAAAGTTTGATGAAAGAATACTCAGTTGAAAAGAATCAAGAAGTATGTGAGCTCTTAAATGATTTTTGAACGCCTTTCAAACACGCCTTCCATGTCTCTTGCAAGATGTTACCTTTTCTTGTATCTACAGAGCGTAATATGAGATGAGACTCCTGAGCCTAACGAATGCTAAGAAAGATGCAAGGTTGTTTCGAAGCTGAGGAATATAAGCTTGAGTGAGCACGCCGCTCGGGAACTTGGAATGGACAGGAATGAGCTTAGGAAGAATGGCAGAATATGCGAGCTCATGCTGCAAATGGGTTGATTTTACAAGGAGAGCTACCTATCTTAGCTCGGCCTTTTGGCAAGGGACAAATGGATTCTGAATTAACTATCAACGCTGATTCCAAATATGCTATTCCTAGCTGCCGCCACCCTTCCGAAACCAGTTGTCGGGTTTTTCCTGGGCATGGCATACTACTGAACATGGGAAGACTGCTTGTTGATAAAAGTCTGCAAGAAAAAGGTGCTAAGACATCGAAATAATACAAATCCAGTTTTTTTTTCATTGAAAAGAAGCAAAACGCAAGTATATTAGCACTTAGGTGATGATGCCGTGATACCAGTAAATCAGTGCGTATGCCAATCTTGCGCAGGAAAAAAGTCCGTAACTCAACTTGCTCCGGATTACTACTCGGCAGCTAGGAATAGCATATTTGGAATCAGCGTTTGAAGCTGATTCAGAATATATATATGTCCCTTGCCAAAAGGCCGAGTGAGTTAGGGAGCATCCCTGTTTAGTAATGTTAACGATTGTTTTTGCAGACTTTGAGCAAAAGTGGGTAACCTCGAGTCATTTGTAACTTAATATGTGAGATTGCACACTAAGCCCTATTAGCGAAGGCAACATTAATTACTACTAACTTTCCAGTGCAACATTTTCTAGCTTAGCAAAGTTTAGAAATGTGTTCTATCAACTAACATATAACCAGCAAGAACAAAACAGACCGGGAAACAAGGGGAAATTACTGGAAATAAGCAGCTTCCAGTTTTGTAGTTCGTCAGTTAACGTGTATAGTGTGCACTACGCATATTAAGTTAGGAATGACCCGACGATATGTAGGTGTAAATAAGCTGTTGCCTCCACTGCTTTGTGAAGTGAATCACTGATCGCTCTTCGTTACTGTAGGATTATGGTAATAACGTCTAGCATGTGGATCCATTGTGAAATATGCCATTTGGCAATTTTTTAATCAAAAATCTGAAAAATTGTGTACTAGGTTCGGCAGGCTGATTGCACTACATAACTTTTTACAAAAGTTTTCATCTTTTTTGACGGTGTGATCACATTTCTGACAAATGCTGGGATTTCAGGCTTTACGGCTTACCTGGAAGAGCTTAGGAAAGGAGAATTAGAGTTATAGAAAAAAGTGGAATTCTCATATTCGAAATCAGCGGCTTGCACTATCTTAGCATATGAGTTTTTGACTTGTTTGATTTTGTTCCAAGGCAGCATACTCAGGGACTCGCACCGTGCGGGCGGCCAGCGACGAACTTACAATCGCTCGTTGGTGTGTGCGATCGTACGGTCGTCAAGGGCCGTTAGCACGGTTAACGTGGGGCGCCCGCACGGTTTCTAATGCTCGCCGCTTGCGCGGGGAAGGT